ATCTTGTTCATCATCATTCTCAACTGTGGTCAAAAGAGTACCGTTACCAGCATTGTCTTCTAATGCAACAATATTGATTTCATCAACAACTGGAGTTGCTAAAATTGAGCCATCTTCTGATATAGTTGCTACAGCACCAGTACTTGCGTATATTGGGCTTAACGAAACATTGGAATAACTAGATTTAAAATCCATTACACTAACTGAGTATGAGCAATAAAATCTAGCCTACTCAAGGGAATCTGGGATGCTCTTTTAAACTTCTTGTACCATCGATTGTGGTCTATAGCTTGAAGTTTTTTTTATATAAAGATTTAGCGATGAGCTTTGATGAAATTTTGTAATCATTTAATACGTATCTGAATATAATAAAATATCCAAATTTGGCATATCAAGAACAAGATGTCAGCAAACTAACTGCCTGACTCTACAGTTGTTCAAAGATTAATCTAAAGTTAAACATAGTGATATATTTTATATTATAAAATTAAATGATATTAAACTAAGTTAAATTCAAAATGATTGTGAAATTTCTCTTCACAAAATTTATGCCATATTCCTCATGATATAACATAGCATGCAAAAAAGGTTAACAAAGTAAATGGTAATTATTAAATTGATATTAATGCTATTAATATGACTGGGATGATTAGTATGGGGATTTGTATTAAATTTTATTGAGTATTGTTTATTAGTACTAGTATTAGTATTATGAGTATTATTATTATTATTAATTTATTGATATTGATGTTAATGTTGGTTCCGATTTTGACAATGTTATCTAACTGATAAATGTACTTTCAATAATGGATATACCTTCTTCATTTTCAAATGAAGATTTTTGGCAATATTGATAAATATATGGCTTTACATTTGCGATATTCTGTGCAATTTTCTTGACAATAAGTGGTAATTCCTCCATGATATCATATCTGTTAACCAAATTCAATTCAGGTTCACTAAAGTCCATTGGGAATGCAATGGATGTTGGATAACTCCAGCCATTATCTTTATCTTCGATGGTTTTGTCATATACAACTTTGCATTTATTAACACATGATATCAGTTTTGTAATCTTTTCTTTATTGGTGATGGAATATATTGTTACAGTATCATTACCATATTCTTCAGTTGTAGTATATTCCATACATAGGATGGAATAGTTTTCACTTTGATAACATAAGAAATTCCAAGATTTAGCAGCCTTGTTTGGTAACAACCCCTGAACAGCGTCAATATAGCTGATAGGAACATCTGATAAAGTTAACTTGATGTCATTCTCACCTTTACTATCTGTATAAGAGATGGTACCGCTACAACGACCTCTTGGAATAAACAAATGTCTCAACATCTTACTAGAAATGTCTTGATCGCCACCTTTTTCGACCTGACTAACTGAGGAAACTGCTTTATCTAAATAGTAAGAGCAACCATTTGGATTGATCATGTATCCTTGGTATAAGTCAGCCTTCAAATCAATCTTTAAACGGCCTTGATTCTCGGATGGTTTGGGTCTGATATCGACTTTAATGTTTAACTGAGCAATAACGTCACCGCCAGATTCATTCTTTTTATCGCTTCTTACAAATTCGAATAGGACGTCATCAAATTCGACTCTCAATGGTCTAAATGACATCAAATTGTCTAATTTATAAGTTTCCCAGATATCTTTACTAGATTTCTTTTCGGAACCAAAAATTTTAAAGTTTAATTGGAAACCTTTGTATAAACCATTAATGACACTAGAATAAACCAACTGAACAAAACCAGATCTGCCTGATTTCAAATCAGTAAAATATAAAGTTTGGGTCTCTACTCTTGACTGCATATTTGGCTTAATGGCACCGATGATTGAAGAATGGGTAGAGTTATCAAGATGTTGCAAAGAATCTGGATGAACATACCATTCCAACGGTCTTATATCATCAATAGTAGCATAATTACTTTTACTTTCTGGATCCTTGCTATTAACTTCTTCAATTGGAATAAATTTGATCTTGTTCTTTTTAGAACCTTTCCCACCTAAATGAAACATTATTAAATAGTATTATATTTTGTCGATTAAATAAGTTATCTATGTCTTTATGATTGAGATACAGACACACAGACACCCGAATGAAATAACTTTAAAAACTTATTATAAATAGAAGTTCGTTTAAACTTTTGATATCAATAACAAATTTGATTCTTCTTATATTTTACAAAACCTTAAAATGCAAGATATACATAAATATAGTCAATACTAAATCAGTCGAACACAAGCAAAACAATAGTTGATACAATAAGTTTCGAAATAAGTTGATTCTTATATACAAAAGTACAAAGTTAGGCCATCGACCCAAAACTCAAGGGAGCTTAAGGGAGATCTGAAAAGGGATTGATGTAGAGAGAGACATAGATAGGTCTAGAATTCAAAAACTATAAAGTACACCGGCAGCTATCCATTATTAAAACCAACGTTTAAGTGAGCTTTAATAACCAACAAAAAAAATTCATTGAGATATAAACTTGATTTCTAAAAGGAAAGCTGGTGGGAATATGATAAACTTACGAAAGGACAGTAGTAAAATAACATTACAAAATTTATAATTTCAATTGATGAAATAGTAATGTAAAAAGGAAGGATAAATAAATAAAATACGGCTCTAACTACCCTCAAAATTTCGAACTGAGCTAAGGATAATGCAATGTCTCACTCTCTCCTTTAAGAAAAGAAACAAAAGGCGAGGGAAAGGGTATAAGCATAGTTCCTATCACAAGAATCTTGTACGTATCCTGTCTCTTCAATTCAAAATACAGTTAAAAGAGGGACTAAAAACAGGATATAAGTTTATGATAAAGAAGTAGTTGTAGAAAATGCCTATAAGAATAAATAGTTCGAACACGAATCGAGCAATAATTCAGAAGAAGAAAAAAAATGTAATGAACAAACAAGCAAGCAAGTAAGCCCAAATAAAATAAAATAAAATAAAATAAGATGAAATGAAAGAAGGACCCACGAAAAGAAAACAGTTTCACCTATTGTAACAACGAAAAAAAGGGTTATGATAATATAATAACTTCCTTATCCGAAGGATAAGGAAGAGATAGATGTCCAACTTCTCCGAAACACTTTAAAATGCTATAGAAGATTTCATAAGTAATGATGGGAACTAATCAAAATACATAGATATTGATATTTTTATAGTTTTGTAGTGCGTTTCTTTTACGCCTTGTGATAGAATTTTTCACTTGAATATAGCATATAGGAGGAACTTGAGAAGAACTGGGCAAGAGATGAGAGTTCAACATAGTGAATAAAAAAAGCACGCAGATTGTATTCTCATTACAAATAAATTACACTTTTACGCGTAGTACACTTCCAATTCTCTTCATACTGCAACAATTGTTTTTTTTCTTACAAATCCTTAAATATGTATACCAGCAGACTTCTTTTAAAAAAGTCTTTGGATGGAAGGTTTTTTGGAAAACTCCTTCATCTTTTGTAAGGCATCTCTCTAAAAATTTCCCGTAAACGTACCGTGTTTGTCAGGTAAACAAACGCAATGCAATGCTATCATTTCAATTGATAAATTTATCTTTTAAAATACCGTTTATCCATTTTGGCGTTCGTGTTGAAGGTGTCTGCATTTAAAGTAAGTTGTCGAAGCATTATTTGAAAATATTCTATTAAATCTATTTAGGTAACTATATCTTCTTTTGGGACAATTTTTTTGAGCTCAAAAAACTTGAATGTCGTAACGAATCTTTAAGCCTCTGCCATGGCAAGAAACCAATTAACTTGAACCTTATTGTCATTAAATCAATAGGCTGCTATGATTTTTTTTTTCTTATTATTTTTATTTAGTAAAAGACCAATTAAAATCAAAGTCTGAATCTCAGCCCAGTTCAATTTCATTTTCTTTTGTTTAATTTGCCTTAATAGAAATTAAAAATAAAGGCATTTGATATCTTCCTCTCCTTTAATTGAACTCGATCAGGAAAATTTATTGAGCACATTTCACTTTCAATTGATGAATTAGCCTACATTTTAGTCTCAAATTATATTCGAGTGTTCTTAATTCTTTAAGTGTGCATAAGAAAAAAAATATTATTAAATTACATTATACGGGGACCCTTTTACGTTCTTTGAATATGACCATCATACGCATCCTAATTAGGCATTTCCAGTTAATTAACTATAATATAGACTGGCTGATATAAAACCAGTTCGAGATATATAATTAGATCAACCTTTGCTTATTTGCATAAACGCTTCTTGCATCACATTACCATCATTGTAGTATCATAGTTTCAGCTCACCCTTTCTGCTTAACTCTGCCAAATTGTAGTACCGACTACGAGGGATGCCTCGGTGTAAAAATTTGACTTTTCTCATTCTCTAGGCTGGCATCCCAGAAGAATCTCTAAACAGGGAGGCTGGGATAGGGGGATGGGGAGAAATGGAAGCACAAGGCAGCAATAACCTCCCCAAGGTCTATATTTTTAGCGGGGCATTGTATCAAAAAGGGGATAATTCACTATTCTTGATGTTGTCACACTAGGAAATAATATTATAGATAAGTCTCTGTTGGTATTAGAAACACTTATATTGAAGGTAAGAGAACTACTGACACCTATACTGACATAATCAGAGAAATTATCCTCGTTTTCTAGAGCTGTACTTTAGGATATCTGTTTATCTAACAGTACAAACAATTGAAATATCACAATGATCCTTTGTTTTGAGAGTGTTGAATCAATATTAATTAAGGTTTGTCTCTGTGGATTAAAGATATTTAAATGGCTGAGTGATTATAGAGGGGTAAAAATGGTAAAGAGAGTGTACGGTAGGGGGGATAGTGGATAATAATATGGAATGTCACTGCTTCCTAAAATAGTAAATCGAGTGTAATTAATTTAGATATTACATTTACATGAAAAACTATTCAATAGAATCTATAAAATGTGTAATTAGAACTTGGTCTTTTCTTGGGTAAAATTTCTGCATTTGTATGATTTAACTTGTGAGTGGTCCTGGAAATATTAATTTGTGTAAAGATACATATACTTATTGATATAAGTTGTCATTATTTATTGTTATACAAATTCGCTTAAATTTGTAGTTGTCATTGACGGCAACCCACCGCCTAAAAAGTCAAGCATCATGTGCATACCACCACCACTATACTCGTCGACATCTTGTGGTAAAACCTGAGGTACACCTTCAAGAAACCATACTGTCTCCATTACTTGTGTGGTGTATCCTCTTAGTAATTTATAATAACTTCTCATTATTCTCATAGCTCCCAGATCACCTGTCATAAGCAAGGCTAAGAATGTCTTATCTAATAATGCTGGAAATGCAAATACTCTTAAAATAAAATTAGGTTGTGATCTGTCCCTATGCAATTTATCTAGGTAGGCCAGCGTGATTAAATATGGAGAATCTATTTCCACAGGGTATAAATCAGCGATACTCTCATCGAAACAAACTAATTCTGAAATAGTGTCACTCTCCTGTGTCAGTATGTCACCAAATTCGCTTAAATCTATCGATATTAAATCATGGAACCGCGATTTCTCGCTCAATGGCCATACAGCAGTTAATATGGTAGAAGCTCCTTTGACATGAAAAATCCACGCACTTGGTGACATAGTTGAACTTATTCTAGCTCTACTTGTAGTTCTGCTATTGCTACTTTTACTACTTCTTCCTGTCATTACACTACTATTATCTGATTTATCGCCTTTGTCTAAGTCAGTATCATCGTCCTTATTGCTGATACCACCGGCTGCATTTGCCAAAGAATCCATTATCAATATTAATGCACTTGCCACTAATGCGTCAGTATTTTCCGGGGATATTTCTAGAACTGCTTCCCTTAGTAGTCTTAAAGCTTCAATTCTATGGCTTGAAACATAATGCTCCAAACCATTCTCACTTCTTGACAAATGAGTGGCACTGAAAGCTAATATGGAATGCATTAAGAATGGGTATTCAAATGAAAGCTCGGGTATTTCTTCACTCCATAATTGAACACCAGTAATACCAGCCGATATAATTGTAGGCCAGACTTTTGTACAATAGTGATAGAATAATTTCAAATCCACTAGATTTAAAGAAACCTGCTGAGACATTCTAACAAGGTTGTAAACGCTTCCATTAGATCCAGACTTTTCATTAGAGTCAGATATGCCACCTTCATCGTTGCCGGAAACATCCATAGAGTTTTTACTGGATTTTGGACTACCCTGTTTTGTTTCATCTATTGTTTCTCTTCCAGCAAGGGTGGCAGCTGAAGGTGAAGTATCCATTCTATTACTATTGTCGCCATCTAGTTTAGAATTCAGTATATTGACGCCAGATTCATTTTCTCCTAAATTTCTTGTCATTGGAGTTACAGGAACAACAGGAGATATGGTTGGGTTATGCGAAAGTATTGATGCGTTTAGTGAACCAGATCTGCTCATTCCTACATTTCCGATTCCATTATTATTATTTTTAAAGGCATTATTTTGAGCAGATCGCAGATTCATAGATTTTGTCATCTGCTTATGCATATTTGTTAATACTTCTTCGGCAATGCTGACCTTCATTGCATGTGCACTTTTTAGACCTCCAAGATCTTGGAAGTCAAATTGGCCCATCGAAAAACCGGGGCTATTCAATGCACTTAAACCTTTTAAATTCAAACCCAATTTACTAACTAACGCAATAGAGTCGCCATATAACGACAATGGATTGACTGGAGCATTTTCTAATCCTCCAATATTATGGTTATTTTTGCCCTTATTAAAAGAGCCAGCTAAAGTGGCCCCCAGATTATTGGACAAAGACTGCTGTGATTGTAACCCTAAAGATGTAGAGTTAGCATTTGTATTTAGGTTTGGTAAAGTTGAGAATCTGCTAACAGATAGCAAACTACTTATGCTATTACTGGCATTCAGTGGTATAGATTGTAATGGCGATTCTCCATGAATGTTAATATTATTATTTTTACCAAATGTGTTAACATTTGCAGAGTTTGGACCTCCAGATAAGTCAAAAGTTGAGAATTTTTCTGAATTTGACAACGACATCAACTGTGGTAACATGAACTGAGAATTTGCGAAATTAGGTACAGTTGACAAAGAAGGAAGTAATAAAGAATCCATATTACCTTGCTTGTCTGGAGAATTCAAAGGCAATACCATTGAACCTCGTCTTCTATGAAACAGCAAATTTGATTCCTCCTGTTTAATAGGATCATTTGTAGCTGTGAGTTTGGTTTCGGTTACGTTTGCTGGAGTTTCTGGATCTTCTAAGATATTATTACTTTTTCCCTCGTCTATACTATCTTCTTGTTCATCATGTTCATCTTCTTCTTCATCATCATCATCTTCTTCTTCTTCTTCTTCTTGTTCTTGTTCTTCTATGACTTGTTGTTCTTTTTGTAATTGGTTTTTTTTCTGATTTGGAAGTTTAATCCCACCTGATTTTGATTTGGTACCATCTTTATAAACTGTTGTCGTGATTGTACTTTGAATATGCGTAACTTTTGGATAATTACAATCTAGTTTCATATTACTACATTTTTTACAAGCAGGCTTTGCTTCGTCACATTTAACCCTCCTTCGTTTACAATTTTCACAACCATTTTTGGATTTATTATGAAACTTTCTTTTACCTGTTGAAGTTTTACTTACTATTTTACCACCAACTTCAATTAATTCAACAACCTTCCTTTTCCTTCTAGGTTTTGAAACAGATTTGTTGATTGATGTTTTTACCTCTGTGCACATTATATTTTATTTATGAAGGGTATCTCTCTGCCTTAACTTTTTTCAATTTTCTTTTTTGATATCTGAATTATTTAAGGTTATCGCCAGATATTGAATATATTACAGATCTCTTGACAAAGCTGATTAGAATATGAATAATATTGATATCTAGCTAAATGTATTGATATTGTATTTTTCTATTATTAAAAAAAATGAATGAATATGAACCAAATATTTTAATATGCTTATTGTTTACTTGCCTTCACTTCTTTAGTTGTAGTTCAGCGTTTGTTGAAGGTTAACGAAATTCTAGGTAGTTGACAATATATACTATAAAGAAATTAGTTGCAATTGAAAAACATAAATTGAGAAAATAAATAAGTTTGACTGGTATCAATAATTTTTTATTTACTTGAAACTATCAATCACTTTACTAAAACAAAAGTAATGGAGAATTAAGTATTGTAACAAGTAAACCAGAATATGTAATAATACTTGAACTGTATCAGTAATGAGGAATTGGATCAGTCCAAAAGTATAATTGTTCCTTAGGTCTAAGCCTGGTTAAAAAATTCCAGAAGCAGTACAAATTAGATTAAGTTTCTTGAATGTAACTCACAATAGTTCTATCTTTCTTCAACGACCCCTCAAGACAATTAAATAATTCTAATTGACAACAAGGGAAAATGATGAAATGGATACTGAAATACAATAATAATGACGTTGGTGTTATTAAATCCTAACCTAAAAAGATATTGAGCAACAAAATTAACAACAACAAAAAACTTCAATTGAAGTTGAAATTGGACATTAAATTGTCTAAGTTAACCTTTAAACAAATTTCCAAATCTATTTATTATTGTTGCTATTGCAGCAGAGAAATAGAAGCACCCAAGAAGATATAGTGAACAAATAATAGAAAATTAAAACCACAGATATCCCAATCAATTGTTACTTTTCAAGTCCCAAAGAAACAATTCATCTAAAAATTAAGGAAACATAGTATTATACATATTATTGAAAATGAAAAACCTACAAGAACCAAGAAGTTGTGACATAATGGCAATTTCTAGGAATGAACTCTACTAGATTGAAAGTTACTAAGAAATATTTACATAAAAAAAATCTCGTTTACGGTACCATACTTTTTCAATTCAAAACTTGAACATGTCCTGTTGTAGTTTTTATCAACAAATCTGTGAATTTAACGTACGACCGACCCATAATGTAGTTTCCCAAAATTATAGGATAATTCAATATTAAGTCCATGTATCTGTCTGTAATAGTCTTGGAATTCCAATTATTAAAGCATCTTCGCTTCTATCCTCAAACAATTAATCTTCTCAATAAACATTAAGTCGAATCAAATCAAATCAAATCAAATCAAATCGAGTCGACTTGAATTGAATTGAATGTAACACTTAAACGACTTGACGTTTTAACGTTATTTCATTGTTGAAATAATTCGGTTTTTCAGTTAAAATCGAAAAAATCGAAAAAATCGAATAGAATTTTGATTATTAGATAATTTTTTCTACTAAAATGACGTAGAGAAAAGAAATCAGCCATTAGAAAGCCAAATGGGATAGAATAAAAGGCATTAAAATAATAAAAAAAGCAGTAGAGAGCAATGGGATAATTGGGTTAATAGGATAAAGCAGTTGTAAACAGAGTACTGTTGGGTTATCCTTACTAACTATATTTTAATATTATGAGAATAAAAAGGAGATTAGAAGGGAGAGATACTTAAACGATTAGAACATATAGTTTGGCAATGAAGGAAGTGCCGTTCTGTTGTTTGACAATATTTGGAATTGTAAAAATGTATTGACAGTTATTTCTCAGTAACATAAACTTACTATTCCTAGTAAGTATGTTTATTAGACTTGCTTGTAATTAGTTTTCCCATTTTTATTGTTACTATCTCTTTGGAGAAGAGTATCACTTATACGAGCTCTTTTCTTGTACGGAAACATATTAGCTATTCATTCATATACGTATATATTATCTTTCTACTACATATTCAAGCAGAGAAGAACAACAAGCTGATTCTGTAAAGATTCTGTTGAAAAATATAAAAACTTACTGTGCGTTACTGATCACATGATTTATCCATACTTATAGTTACATAGGCAAAATTAATGTAGTGACGTCTTAAAGTTTCATCAGGGATTATCAGTACATAATATAAAACAAGCCCATTCATTGATTGACTAGAATACAATGGCATCAAGACAATTGAGGAAACAAGAAAATGAACGAACAGTTGGATTCTATTCGTTTAAAGACAAATGATTACCCTTTCTATTCTATTTCAATGCCAAGATTAAAAAATAACTAATTATTGTCTATTCAACAAAGGCTTAGTCAGTTTTTGAAATTTATGGGGGGCTCCATCACATCATTCTTTAAAACTGTTAATCAAAATTATTATGATGACAGTAATTGTGATTACAATAAATTGTCTATTTCCTCTATTTTAGTTATTAGAAAATATGTTCTATATTAAAATACTGATCTGTAGAATACATAAAGATTGATAGGATAGATTGATAGTTAGATAGACGGATGGTTCGATAGACAGATAATATAATTTTCGAAAATAAAATACGGAAAAATACATTCAAAGGATATAAGGGTAAATTTGACTTTATTCACAATATTAGAAAAAGAAAAGTCGGTAATCAAGAAAAAATATTGAACACGCATGGAATAATATTAATTAAATAGTGCTACCATTTAATTCTTGACTATCCAAAGAAAAATTCTTGAAGGTATAATTACCAAATAATCAAAGAAAAAAATATAAATAAATGCATAGTAGGAATACCTTGAATGTTTTTTTTACCTAATCCTGTTTCTCCCTCTTTATTATTTTTCTTTCTTTCCATCTCTCTTTCTATCTTTCTCTCTTTTTCTCTCTTTGATTGATTTATATTTGTGGATTATTATTTATTTAGTATTTTTCTTTCTCTTCTTAGAAAAAAAATTGTTGATTCTTAATGTCGTTAATGATCATGTGGATCTTCCTTTGGAGGTTCAGGATCAACAGTGATCATTGTATCGATTCTTAAGATTGCAATACAGGCCTCAAGGGCTGACTTCAAAGATTTAACTTTACTAATAGTAGGTTCTAATACACCAGTACTAACTTCATCCACTATCTTACCCTTTATCAGATCTAAACCATAGTTTCTGTAGTTCTTTCTCTTGGCATCTTCTGGCTTAGCTTGTTGGCTGGCGGCATGATATGATCTCAATTTAGCAATTAATTCACTTGAATCCTTGGCCGCGTTGACAGCTAAAGTCTTTGGAATAATTAATAAAGCTGAGGCAAATTCGGCAATAGCTAATTGTTCACGAGATCCAACAGTAGTAGCAAAATTATCTAAGTAAATGTTTAGTGCTGTTTCAACACAACCACCACCTGGAACGACATTACCACTTTCCAGGGTTCTCTTAACTACACATAATGAGTCATGTAAGGAACGTTCCATTTCATCTAATGAGTAATCATTTGGACCACGTAAAATAACAGATGAAGATGAATGTTTAGAAGTACCCTTGATTAGAATACATTCATCGTCCGAAAATTTGGCTTGAACAACTTCTTGGCATGTTCCCAGATAACTAGCTTCAAAGGTTTCGTCACCTTCTAAATTGGACATAGAGTTAACTAATGTAGCACCAGTAGCACGAGCAATTCTTCTTAAGTCTTCCTTCTTACATCTTCTAACAGCCATGATATTAGCTTCAACAAATTCTTTTAAGCATAAATCATCAATACCTTTAGTAGTTAAAACCACTTGGGCACCAGCGTTGATGATTTTTCTGACTCTTTCCAATACAATACCTGCTTCACGCTTACGAATTTCTTCTAATTGTTCTGGATCATCGATGTTAATTTGTACACCCATGGCCATACGGGCCTTTTGTAAATTTATATCCAAACATGCAATTTTTACGCTACCGGTAGCAATTCTCTTTGGCATAGCTTGAGATGCAACAGTACAATTCAATGCGTAACCTTGAACTAAAACAGATTCTTTAGATGACTTACCATGGGCCTTCAAAATGTTTACCGCTTTGACTGGATACTTAATTTCACCTTTAGAGTTTTGAGTCTTGACAGCCAAAATAGCATCAACTACTAAGTTACTGAAAAATTCAGAGTCTGCGCCAATAATCTTAGAAGACATACTTGTCTTTGCAATATTAACTAAAGTTTCCTTACCTAAGGAATCGACACTCATAGACAAAACTTCATTGATATAATGAATAGCTTCTCTCAATGCAACTCTGAAACCTGTGATAATAGTAGTTGGATGAATTTTATTCTTAACTAGTTCATTTGCCCTTTTCAATAGTTCAGAGGCAATTATGACTACAGAAGTTGTACCATCACCAATTTCACGATCTTGTTGTTGAGCCAATTCAACTAAAATTTTTCCTGCTGGATGTTGAACATCTAATAAAGACAAAATAGTAGCACCGTCATTGGTAACAGTGAAATCACCAATATCATCTACTAGCATCTTATCCAAACCAACTGGACCTAGAGATGATTTGACAACATTTGCCACAGCCATTGCAGCTAAGACATTTTGGTTACGGATGTCTTCACCACTGACTTTTTGACCACCCAAAAATAAAGTATCAGAACGTGAATTATTAAAAACTTGAGCCATTGATAATTGTTGGGTTGCTTGATCAGTTGTATCTATTTAAGATCAAAGTTCCTTCAAAATTTTCCAGTCTTAAATTATCGATTAACCTTTGCTTCATTGAAATATTTTTTATATTTTTTATTCCGTTGACATTAAAATACAGAATTAAAAGATCACATGATTAAAAACTATAAGCCAATATGTATAATCACGTTGTTGGACGGACAATTGATCATTTAGATAATAATTATCAATAATGGTTGTAACTTATAACCAAAATCTAAAATAAATATGTTATTAATTAAAATTGTATATTTTATTTAACAAAAAAATCTATAATTGGTTATATTCTACAGCTTAATCTATTATCCCAACTAAAACAGTACCTAAAAACAATATTTTAATGATTGTCTGGATCTTTTCTAATAAAATTATAAACTCCTAATATTTATAATGTCATTAACATAATTTCTATATATACTAAGATTCTTCTTCTGAGGATTCTTCTGAAGATTCTTCGTCGGCATTTTGTAACCATTCTACCCATTTGGCAGTTAAGCTTGTAACAGAACTATATTTAGTTTCCTGAGAAATAGTCTTCCACCATTCATAAATGTTTTCTTCTTCTAGAATGTCATTGTCATACAGAGAATTCAATGCTACAAATAAAATTAACTCAGGTTTTTCGAAGTCAATTTTTAGAACTTGATCCAGAATGATATTAATCAGATCAATAAAATCTTCGTCTTCAAAACATTGTCTTTTAAATAGCATACCCCATTGGTTGAATACTTTAGCAACAGCTTCCTTAGCACCTAATGTTTGAGTAAAGATAAAATGATTCACTCTTCTTAACATCGACATTATAGTAACAGTTCTAACTTCATGATAAGTTACGTTCATACTCATTCTTAAAGTATTCAATTCTAACATAGCAGTATCTAGATCATGATTATTTTCGATAGCTCTTTCGACAGTCGCAATACCTTCCTCTTCAAAGTCTTCATCATCTTCAAACTCAGTATCATCTTTGTCGGTATACATACTATTGGAGGACATTGTTCTCTTCTTCTTGGTCTTAGTAGTCGCAGAAGCAATAGAATCATCACTTAAATATAATTCCTCCATCTGGTTTACCAAAGAGTTAGCATTCTTTAAGTTTCCGGAGATGCTGTCCTCCTCATCATCAGAAACATCACTTTCATATACATAACCAACACCATTTTCACCTACAATATCAACAGCCAGAACATCACATTTGGTAGATTTATCAATAACTGATTCTGCTGCTTCACTATCACTATCTTCTGATAATCCTTGAGAGAACATATCGTTATTTCCTGATTTGATTGGAACGGATGATAACTTTGTCGACTCTGGTACAACCATGTTGTCATCGATTGTGACATTAAAGCCTATGACACAACCCTTATTAATTAAGACATTGGCTCCAACATTAACATCAGATGCAATAATGGAATGGTTTATAATAGAATTATTGCCAATGTTGGTATTGTCCCAAATATAACTGTTTCTAATTGATATATTTTCACCAATTTGACAATTTCTACCAATAACACAATTTTCGATGGAAGAGCCTTCACCAATTTTTGTTCCTGAACCAATAGCGGTACATTTACCTATTTTACATGATTGTGCTAAAACAACATCTTTTTCTTTATAAATATGAGATGATTCATATGAGTAAGTTTGATCTTCTAAAAAGTTTGCATCTAAAACAATTGGGTAGGCCCATCTTCCTAAGAAATCCTGAGACATGACATCATAAGCATGCCAACTTTCAGCTCTAACGGCATATTCATCGGTAATATAAGCATAGACACCCTTTCTCAACAAATCACTTGAGATAACACCCTTGACAAAATCAGATCTTAAAGATTGGTAATCAAAATTGTCTTGGAATAATGGAGGTACCTGTTGAGAACAGATATCAATTCTACAATCAATTAAATCATTTCTCAATGAGAATTCCTCAACATCTTCCAACAATTCAGGATCGATAGACAAGGCAGATTTTGATTTGGAATGAGCTAATGGGATATCTTCATAATAAATACATTTATTGTTGGATTTATCCAATATGAATGTAGCTGGTTGGATAGATCTTGTTTTGTAATAACCGGTAGCTTTACTTAAACACATAGTTAAAATGTGATCCTTATCATTTTGGTGAGCCTTCTTATGGAACTCTAACACTTTATCAAATTCAATGTTTGTAACTAAATCACCACTTATTAAAATAAAGTCTCCGGTAATAATCCCTCTATTGTCAATATCTCTCATTGCATCACCAATTGAACGTGACTCCGGCGACATAATTGTGGTGACTTTAAATGGAGACCAAGGTAAATTCCATTTTGAGTTTTCGATGTATTCGATAATTTGGTCAGCATGAGCTGAACAGACTAAATAAACTTCTTTAACAGCAGCCATCGCTAAAGATTCCAGAGTGTATTCAATCAATGGAATATTTGCCAAAGGTAATAAACATCTAGGCTTTGATGCAGTCAAAGGCATAAACCTAGTTTCAAAAGAATCAGTTAAAACGATAGCTTGCAAACGGTCGTCTTGTTCCATTTCATCTCTATTTGAATTATTGTTACCACCTTTCTTTGAAGGTTTTCCTTTTTTAGCTGCCATTCTCACTCAAATCTCTTGTAATAATAACCTTAAAAACAGAAAATAAAACTGGTATAACTATGCTTGAGATGATTAATCCTTTTAAAACTTTAATTACTGTTTGAGTATGAATAATTACGGCAATAGCATTTGTTCACCTTTTACAGCTTCATGTTCAAATATCTTTTAATGCATTACCGTAATCTCATCGCAAATAAATTTCACAACTATCGATATTAACGTTGATAATGATTTTTAAAAACTTACTTAACAAAAAAATGAGAAAGTGCTCGAGGTGGGGTTTGAACCCACGACGGTCGCGTTGCTTTTTCACTGTCTGTATTTAGCAGACTAGAGTACAGAATGCTTCGGTTAAACCGACTGCAACTATAAGCACGAAGCTCTAACCACTGAGCTACACGAGCATTTTCAATTGTGATTCTGTAGAAAACCCAATGACTACATATACAGGATATTAAGAATTTTTTAAGATTCTTTTAAGAGAGCTATCTCATTATTGTTGGATGCTAAATTACTGGAACTTTAGGCTGGATACTCTAGAGTAAATATTATGTCGTTATTTCTTGTTTTTTGTACAAGGTTGATGTATAGATTCCTCCCGTTTATGAAAGGAGAAAATGTCAAAATGGCAAGAGCTTTAAGTTTTGTTCAGATGTAAAAGTAATATCTGATTGATTCATTTTGGTGATTGATACAAGATGCTTTTAATATAATATTTATATTTATTTCTCCGTAGTGTCTTATAAATTGTAACTAAATAAATATATATTAATATTTGGAATAAACAATATTTTAGATGTGCCAAAATGTCATGCCATTTTATAGGTTTAGATCCAATCTCATAATCTCAGAATTATTAATTAATTATAATAAAAATAGTGATGCCTTTGCACTCCACTTCCTATGACATGATCATCAATTGCTCAGATGATCAAGTAGATCATCATTATCGAGCTATTGGAATCTATCATAATAATTGCTGTCAATACTATTGACAGACTATTTCTTCATATCATTAGTAATCATTGTTCATTAAAATGATTAGGGTTATAAATATAATCTTTCAGCTCATAAGAATGTTCTAGAACCATACAGATCTATAATCTATCTCTTAGGTCATATTGTTAATATTTGCATTTATGTCATTAGGGCAACAAATGTCATTTATCACGTGATATGAATAATCTGTAAACCTATATATGGAATTCATACATTTAGGTTACAACAAGCTTATGATGAGAGTAGATATGCGTTAAATAGGTACGTTTGACCTATTACTGAGGTCAGTGAGTGGTAACTCGCTCTTCCTCTTGTAATAGAGTAGTGTATATAACATAAATAGTTTTATATATCGGAACAGAAAATTTGTTCCTTTTATATATTAGAGAAATCGATACATTCACCTTGTACGAAAAATAGCAATAGTGACATAAACTTTATCCTCGAGTATCCAAGTTAAAGTCACAACAGAAAATTTTCAGTTCTAATACAAAACTATTTATGCTATACACACTGTTCTGTTACAAGAGGAGAGTGAGTTACCACCATCAGATTCTCTATAATAGGCCACTGCATCTATTTTCCGTACATTTACTCCTAGTAAAGCTTGACAAATCTATATTTCTTACTGGATTGTAGGATTGGTCTCAACTGTCATTGTCACTGGTTTACTAGATAACTGGATCATTTCTTTATTCTGATACATAGTTACTTAATATATGACGTTACATAAGGTTCTTTTATACTTCAAGATGCCTTGAAGAATTTTCACTTCGGACAGACACTCGTGAGACATGATAATATTGCTTTATAAGAAACGTCACATGGCCAAGGTCAGCATTTCTGGATTTGAGTTATTCCATAATATTAAGTCAGTTAGTTCAGTTTTTAAACAATTTGGTTAGCGTTGCTCTCGCTTACAGTCATTTGAAGCCTAATTAGCTCCTGGATTATTTCAGAAGTGAAGATGACGTGCCAACTTCTACAATTATGTATCCCGTGACTCCATAATAATAATATTCTAGTTCATTCTTCTATGAACAATTCAAAATTGAAGTTGTTATAAAAGAATAATCTAGATAGATAATCACCTTTATATCTGATAATGAAATATATAAGAATTTTACAGCATTATAGGAAATCGGAGATAAAAACAAAATTCCTGGTAAAATATGCTAAATTAATAAATTTAGCTTATATTGACGTTTTTGAATACCCAAATATTAAATTTTGGAAAACTTTAAACTAAAACTTAATTCTATTTAAAAGTCTTCATTTATGGCTATATATCACATTAAGAATATCTGAACAGAGCCATAGAATTAATGTCACTTAGAAAGGGACTGTATCTATAGTATGAATAAAATGAATGTCATTGTATGAGTTATGATGAGTCGAGTGAAATCAAGAATGACTGTAAATCGCAATTATAGCACACTAAATAAAAAATTACAAGCAGTATAATATATATTGTCCGTGTTGTTTTAATCTATAATTAGAAATTAGAAATAGAATCTGTTCTGACCTAGAAGGTTCCAGAATGTTCTTTATTTCCACTCACACGCGACTACTTTATACAATGTTCATGACATCATAGATATATCTATGAAGTTGGAACATAAATCAACTCATTAACATGGTATACAAATAGCTAATCATGTAATTACTAACAATTAGGTTATCTATTGTTTGCAAAACTGTAGCACATTCTAGAAAAAAAATAAAAAGAATATTATTGGCAAATTACCAATAGACTAAAATACTTGAGTGAGAGTGAAAGGAATTGTTAGAATTAATGATTAGTAATTATAAGATTGTGAGATCGAAGATTAAACGTATAAATACGGACACTAATCTCAAGATTAGGATCATTTGATTTCCAAGATTATCTTTAAATATTCATATTATTATTTATATTATATATAAAATCCTCACTGAGAAGTATAATTTAATAAATATGTCACCTATTAAGAATGATCAACAATTTCAACAACAACAATTAGAAACTGTCATGTTCGGTGGAGTGATCAGTTGGAATCATTTCAGTTGAAGTATATTTTTCCACTGTGACGGTGTCGCTCTAGATCGTGAAAACAATTCGTACAAAATAATAAAATCACGTTCTATCCTTTACGTGTATTATTTCGAGACTACTTCGAGGTTACTTCATACGAACCTTGAAGGTGAAGAAATATGTGTCACTACAAGAATGTTGTTACATGCTATTAACATTGATATTTAAAGAGATCATTGTATATTATTGTATATTATTTAGTATCTTACTTTGTACATAAAAGAATATAGAAATTTATTATTATTAACAAGTATATTTACTTTAACTTACAGATCTCCAACCTTAAGATCCTATAGAATAAACGCTTACCAGCCTTCATTCTAACGTATACCAAATTCAATATACAATTAAATAATAATTAAAGGCCAAATAATACATACGCACCATATATTCTGATTCTTGCAAAATTCTTGGTTTTATAAACCCTCATAGCTCAGTGGTAGTAACGCTGTACGGTTCCAGATGGAATCCAACACAAGGACTCTGAATTGCTTTGACAATCAATAAGATTCTCTGTGTTCGAATCTTGCAATGGGTATAATTAAAATTTACCAAATAGTTGAAATTTTAAAATAAAAGAATTTGCTACCTTATCATGATGAACGACATAATGCGTGAACAATCTCTGAATAAATTTCAAATGCGAAGTTTAAAGGATTAAAAAACCTATGTTGCCTTCCTTCTGACAGCAATCTCTTCTACTTTTTTAAATTTTTATCTTCAACTTAGTATAAATCAAACCCTATATCTTTAATAAGGACTTCTATTCATACTCAATTGTGTCTAGGCTGAATCTACACAATTGCTATTTACGATTAACATTATACAATTGATACATATAAATAGTAATGTCTTCTGAAGCAGATGTGTTCGTTGAACCAGACTACATAGAACCAGATACTTCATCAAAGAATAAGAAGGATAAGTCTTCTAGACCTGAAATCAATTATAGTAGTGGTGGTACTACTGCTATTCCTAGTGGATCCATTGATGCACCAATTGGGACCGATGGTGGTATTGTAGCAGATACTACACCACTGAACAGGGGTACTCTTGACGAGACAGTCATGGAGACTATAACAAGAGATCTAATGGATATAAACTCAAGATTGAAGCAAGTTGTATACCCACATTTTCCAACTGGAGATGTCCTTGGCGGTGGATCTGTTACTGAAGTTGATAATAATGATATCATTTCTAATAACAGTGATTTATGGGCACCATTAACATTCATCATATTATATTCTTTATTTGTATCACATGCCAAATCGTTATTTTCCACTTTATTCGTTTCATGCTGGGTTGTACTATTAGTTATGGCATTACATTTAAGATTGACCAAACCGTATCAAACAGGATCTTTAATTTCATATATTTCAATATCTGGATATTGTTTATTCCCTCAAGTTATTCAATCATTATTATTGCAAGTCATTTTACCATTATTTTTAAAATTAATATTAAAGAATAAACAAAATTGGCAAGTACGAATTTTGGGAATATTTAAACTAATTATCTTAGGATTATGCCTCTTATGGTCGGTTACCTCGATTTCATATGTAACTAAGTCAAAAGGATTTGTTCAAGTGTATCCATTAGCACTATGTCTATTTGGGCTAGCATGGGTCTCCGCAGTGTTATGAATAACCAAGTCGCAAAGTAAGAAAGAACTGGTTGAAATAAAAATAAAAGAAAATGAAATAACATTAAAAGTATGAAAACAAAAAGAAACCATAAAAATGAAATTTATTTAGAACATTTAATTAACCTCAGATATAATATCGTATATTTTAGTGCTTACTGTCCTGTTCAATCTAATTCTATGTTTGACATTACTAATGCCACCTCAATAAATAAATTTATAGTTACCGAATGTAATCTCCATGGTCATTCGACAATTGCCATTTTTTCAAATTTTTTGTACTGTGTGTCTTTCTTATCGTTAAAATATTTTTATTAAGCTTTTTATGATCCAAAGATAAAACAAGAAATTCAAAGACCATATTAATTACACAGCTAAACGTTTTAGCTCCTGGGTATTTTCAATTCCTAGTAGAAATGGACCAGGTCTACAGAATACTCTTCTAAACTATTCTCATCCCTGTGCCATTCCTAATTCGTATATATAGTCATTTCTTATTTCTCGCTACATTATTTTTTAAAAATGCTATCACCCCCCCAATAAGATTACGTCGCAATGACGAAGAGGGCCCCGTCGCCAACAACTATATACTTTTCCCCCCTTCCTTCCCTGCCCCCCCTACCGAATTTGGAAACAGCTAACAGATATTAATTAATACGAATCAAGATTCCCAAGGCACAAACAATAACTCTGATAACCGCTGAATGACTACACATGTAGCTCACAAAAATGCATTTTAACTGTAAAACATACCACTCCATATACAACATTACCACCTTTTTAGTATTTATCAGCTGACACTTGCCTATATTATATATATTATATCATTATACCTACTTTTACCACTATATGCATGCACTGATGCTGTTCGTTATTATGCTACCTTTACTGGCCGAAATACGTACACTAATTTTCCTTTTCTCATTATTACATATTAACCGTTAGTTATTCTTGTTTAAATCACAATTACATTCACATTTTCGATTAAAAAGAAACGCAAGGGAAAAATGCAAAAAGTAAAAAATAAATTAGTCCTTGGGATAAAGCGTAGATTCATATATCACTACTTACGCAGAAATATATTCGAGTATAGCTTTTTCCGAAATTTGAAATTTTTCTGTTCACAAAAGAAAAGCGGAACACAAAAACAGAAGAGACAAAAGGAAAGCTCGAAAAAAAAGAAAAGACTCAAAAAGTTTTTTTTTATTATTTTAACGATAGGACAAGATGGGATGAGATGGGATAGCACTTGTCAGTTCTGATATTGTTGAGAAACAGTTGTAGAAGTTGTTTCGAAATTAGTTTTATCATATATATGAATTGGTATTGTCAGAAATTTCAAGAAAAGAAAGAGCGATTTGTTGAAGAATTTAATTGAATTCGAAACCTTCGAACTGATTAAATAATAATTGATTCTTTTATATATTATAGTATGTTCAATGCTGTTGTCATTAGTACTACAATTATTGTAACTGTAATTGTTGGATATACATTTTTTGAATGTTTAATCATACTTGTTTTCTTGGTATCAGTATTTAATTTAATGGATTGTTCTATATATTGGGTTAATCTTTTATTCACTTGGTAACAATTTCTTATCCAACGCTGTTGACGCTTACCTATCCACATATATATATATATATATATCTATACAATATAGGGTATTGTAGGGTTAAAGTCTTCCCCAGCAGACAAGATACTATCTATTACAAACTAACATACGCGGATTTGTATTGTTACAATCTATTTATTGTCTGTTTGTAGGGGAGGAAATTCTATTTTTACTGATATTTAAAAGTTCTACAACTTCTACTATTTTGAACTGGTCTGAAAGCTCCAAGATAATACAAATCACTACAAATAACAACTAAATTGATTAGTTATCAACCATTTTTGTAACCCAACTAGCATACTATCATACATCTGTTTTTGCAATTATAGATTCATATAAATTAATTCACAATCATGCCATTACTACATCCTTCCTCAACACATTGTTATAGTTTAAAATTACCAGAATTACCAGCGCATGCAAGACATTTCGATGAAGTGGCGAAGAGAAGATTGACTTTAGATTGTCGTACTGGTGCTGCCTCTACGATAGCTAGATCAGATTTATTCGTTCATGGTGGTTTAACCATGGCATTGAATTTAGAGCGAGTGGATACTGTAAATTTACAACAAGAAATTATGATGTATTTTGCTAAAGAGAAAACTTGTGGGAAATTATTTAAAAATTTATCAGAATGGGTATCTCCTGAACTTTTTGCTTTAGATTTGATATCAAGGTCATGGACAAGAATAAAAACCGTGGTCGAAGGCAATAGTAATGATGATCTATATTCTACAAAATCATATACAAACGATCCAAGTTCGAAAGCAATAACTCCAAAATATCCACAGCTAAAATCAAGATTGTTTCATTCTATGTGTTATACAAATTCTTCATTATATATGTTTGGTGGACTAATTGTCTCTCCAGAAAGTGAATACGAACTAATAGCTACAAATTCATTATGGAAATTAGATTTAAAAACGAAAGTATGGTCATTAATAAGCGAAGATCCTCGTATTACAAGAAGATTTAACCACTCTGTCCATGTTAAGAATGAAAATGATGAAACTAGAGACACTAAAATTGTAATTGTTGGTGGTTTAAATAATATGGATGAACCAATTTCTACAATCGATATTTTTAATATTACAAAACACTGTTGGGAGTTTGAACTAAATCCAAATGTTAAAGATCATATGAAAACAAATATAGATGGTAACGATGTATCCTTAACCAATAATACAAGTTTTTCAATTTTAGTAGAAAATAATGAAGCAAATATCCCAGCTTTGGCATTTTATTATCCACAGAATATTTTTTCAGATAGTGCAAATAATCGTCTTGATCCATTCGATCCTGAAAATTCTCATAAAAGAATCAACAATACAGAAAATCAATTATCTCCCTATGTCGCACTGCCTTTATTACCTGATTCACATGGTATGAGAATGGATACAGCTTCAGTTCAAAACCAAGAACTTCTAAGAGTGCCGTTTAACTTATCACACCCAACTGGTGATTATTATGGTTATAATATCATTTGTGCAGGCTTTTACCCAGATTGCAAACCTTATAACTTCCATTGTTATGCTTACGATATACATACGGGGAAATGGACAAGGATTAATGCATACTGTAACCATAGGGGAATGGAAAATCACACACATAGATACTGGAAAGTATTCTTGTGGAAATCCCACCATCAGTCTATCTTTATGGGTACTAATGATCCCGAGGACAATTTACCTTCGGTTCAAAAATTCGACTCGCTCTTAATAATAAATTTGCCAATGATTAATCTCTATAGTAAACTTGGTTCAGGTAGTAGGTATTCAACCATGTCATTACCCGCTTCATCTCCAATTGGGTTAAACGCAAATGACTATTCATTACATTCTATCACCTCGGATAAATTGAATTCTTTTAGAAAGCCAAGTTATGCTTCAACAGCTACTTCACAATTCGAAAGCTATATACGATATATTGCACCTCCAGTGGAATTCAAAGCTATACCATCTGCATTCCAACCATATGCAAAGGTACTTGGTAAAGATGCTATGGAGATATTCGGCTCATCCTTATCGGACTTTGAATTTATTACTGATGATGGTGAATCTATTAGTGTGCCAATATATCTTTTAAGAAAAAGGTGGGGGCGTTATTTCGATATGCTATTATCCAAGAGTTATACCGAAGTGCTTGCTGAATATGAGAATGCTGGGACTCAATCTTCTATAATTAAGTATTCTCCCAAAAACTCACCTTATTATCCGAAAAATGACAGAAGAAATTCAGATGTTTCATTTACAGCGCCTTTAGATGATCCATCTAATAAAGGAAAATCGCCCATGACGCCAAGTTCTATGTTTCAAAAGAATTTGGATCTGAAACCAAGAAGATCTGTCAGTAGTATGGGCTCTGGAGAACATCCTTTATCCCATGTTGTTGGAGGGTCATTTATTTCAAATCTCTGTAATACTGATGATGACGTAGATGATCCTGTATCTTCAATTAGGTCATTGCTTAAAAAGAAACATTATGAAAATATTAATGTGAAGAGCCTTTCGAAACTTGAATTGTCATCCACTACAAGCTCAACAAGTGGACTGGTATTTAGGGTACCATTTGGCGAACAAAGCCAAGTTCCTAAAAGAAATCAGTCTATTCAATCCATACAATCTTTCCAATCAAACAATTCAAATCAATCTGCCCACTCTAGCCAATCTTCAGAAAAGGGTAATATATCAGCAAACATAAAAAGAAGATCATCATTGGCTGTATCTTCAAATATGGACTTACTTAAATCAAAAAAGCTAGATATACCACGGCGTTTGTCTCATCCAAATCCTTTATTTATATCACAAGACAATTCAGTGAATTTTAGGAATATCACAAATTCGCATAGTTCAAGAAATCCATCAATCGCCTCACAAGGAAGCTCTATATCATTTGTAAGTTCAAGTTCTGATAGAATGGGTAATAACATGCATGCAAGTATGGGAAATATAACGGACTCTCCTTCTTTGGGTGTTTTGAGTATCCCACTTCCACCACAGCTAGATGCTCCAAATATGGCATTACCTCATTTCCCTATCTATCCAAACACTTTTATATCTAGAAGAAATGATTCAATTGCTGATAATTATTTCTCAGCTGCAAGCAGTCCAGGCATTTCTACTAGTCCACCTAATTTTCATCGTTTAAGTTCTCCAGATATACCTTTCCCACTTGTGGATAGCATTCCAAAATCATTAGATAACCAGCTAATGCAAGATAAAAGTTTAAATCCTAACTTACAAGTTGATATTACAAGGCCACAGTTCAAGTCTGCATTCATGAAAGCAACCTATAGTAGATCTAGAGGTAGTAGTATTTCAAATCCTCAATTAGAAGCTAGATCACCTTCTATCACTCTGAGTATTGCAAGTACTGGAAGTGCTATATCAAATAACGTTCCAGAACTTGAACCATTATTGACGCCAAGAAGTCTTTATATGCCCTGGTCAAGTGCAACTGTTAGAGCATTAACAGAATTTTTTTATACTGGGCAAGACAATCCAAAATGGCCACTGATTCCCGTTGTCCTAAACTTATTTGTATTATCAAAATTTTATGAGATCCCTTTACTTAATAATATGATATCAGAATTGCTATATACAGTGGTTGATAGAAAGGAAGAAAGTTTATTCGATATGTGCAATATATTACTCCAAGTTATACGAACTTCGACATTAGAAAATAGCTCCAACGATTCTGAGAAAGCCAAAAATAATTTGGAGAATAATGAAAACTATAACGGTCTACTTAAACTGAAAGAAGCATTAGAAAACATTGATACTGGATTTTATGATATCGGACTTGTTAACAGGATGTCAAGTATATTTTCGTGTTCCACTAATGATAGCAGCGATGCTGACTGCAATAGAAGAAATTCAAGTATTGGCTCCTTTCCAAATGTAGCTCAACCTTTATTCAAAGGTGGTCCTAGGGATAGTTTTAACTCAATTGGATCGATTGTCCTTCCACCAAACATTCCTCCTCACGGACAAAGGTTGTCGAATTTTGGGTTAAATGGAAGTAAAGTTAAAAAGTCATCAATATTACAGAATGAAATTAATGATCATACGTTAGAGGAATCAGAAAATGACTTAAATCAAGAAAGCACAATTACAGATATTGAAGCTAGTATGAAAGAAGTAACTTTAGATGAAATATCTGAGATGAATAGTCATAGTAACTCTCAAGATAAAAAGACTTTTGATAAAAAGCCTGAAAATATTGAGAAGCTAGATCTTGAGGATGGAACAGAAAATAGCAGCGATAGTAGTAGCTCTTCTCTATCCGACTTAGATGTTTTCGATTCTGAATTAGGTGTTTTGTCTGCCTCTAAAATGAGCAAAAAGATTAGTGAAAGAGAAAATGAAGAATCCATCGACCCATTGCTAGGTTTGTGTCAAGTTCCATCATCTAATAGTCCCAGTAGGAATATCAATAATGATCATCAGAAGAATCTTTCGAACTCTGCATCAGTACTAAATATACCGAAGGATAATTGTTCTAAATATGATTCTCCTACAATCGAAGATTTGTTATCTCCTAATGCTTTACCTCCAGTTGATTACGTCATGAAATCCATTTATAGAACATCTGTTTTAACGAATGATATACAGTTAATGGCAAGATCATTAAATTGTGTGAATATATCTAGAAAACTAAAAAAGATTAGGAAAAACTTAAATGCTTCTAATTTAAATTTGCTGAACATCAAGAAAGATGAAGAAGGTTTAAAAAATCTCGGCTCTTTTTGGAGTAATAAAACTTTCCAACAAAGATCAAATAGTAGTCTGGGAAGCAATGTTGCCAATTCCTCAAAACCGAAATCCGTTTCACCTAGATCGTCAAATATTAATTTTAGTATGACGCCTAGTATACCAAATGGCGATGGAAGAGCTTCAAGCCTAAGTATCAAGCAAACTCAAGTACCAATCTCGCCAAGAACATCGGTTGCGGATATTTATAATGCTAACTCCACGGGAATCCCACTTAAGAAGTTTCCAACTAATCCCGTTAGTAATTTAAAAAGATACAATTATCAATCAAGTACAGTAACTACAACACCACCACAAGCACAATCGTCATCATCAAAGCAACAACAGCAATCTCTTTCAAATAATAAGACACATGTTGGAGTTATAGATGGTGATGTTCCAATATCAAAAGTCCAATCGGAACAATTACCACAATCATACTCTGCTGGAAAGGGTAAGGTTGACCATTTATCTACTGGCGGTGGTTCTTTTTCTTTTTTTGGTATAAAGAAGTGAACGACTAATAATTTTTGATACATCCTCCTACTACATAAACTTTATAAAATTATAAATTTATATATATATTTAACGAATATAGACATTGCGTTCTTTTTGCATAATTTACATAATTAGCTCTCACGAAATTAACTGTATCTAGCAACTGCTTCTTTACTCTTGACCTGTCTATTTCAAAATAATTGAATATAAGACAACTAAATACAAGGACAAGCTCAAACAAGAGTACAAAATATATGCATAAAATATCAATTTACTAATTGATTGACGTCAGAATTTCAGAGTAGCAAATCCGTGTCTCAACATCCAATGGAATTTAACCAGGAGATTAATTCTGCGGTAGTAAATCGGATCACAACTCTGCAACTGTGACAGGAAAAAAAACCTCAATATCAGGCAAGTACTTAAAGGATTTAATTTTCAATATATTGCAGTGATAAAATGCGTTTCCCTAATTAGTTAAAGAAGTGGTAAGCAAATTTGGTACTAATAACAAGTTGGAAGTCAAGACGTCAATAAAAATAGAGCAAAAAAAAAAATAGTGTTTGGATCAAATTCTTAGTTATTTTTCATCTATTTCGATAATATCTCTTAACTTAAAGTAAAGAAAAATGCTACTCACGTGACCTTTTATTTCCGTGGCTAGTTCCTTGTAAAATAAGGTAGCAGAAAAAATATATATCTCTTTCTGTTCAAATAAATATCATCAGTGCCTGTCGACGATACATTCTTCTCTCATCATGTGATATTCATTTTCTTTGTGTTACCTCTTCCTAATTTAGTCAATGTTGCTTTTCAATTAGTCTAGAATATAATATTAACAGGGTGTGGAAGCACAATTAGAATGGAAATTACTACAAAAAAATCTGATCTATCGCCGCACAATACTAATTGAATCAAGGGTTTCTATATTTCACATGCAGTAGTAGCAAGATTGTATTGTATTGTTTTTTTTCATTATAGAACTCTATATTTTAATTCTAAATCAAGGACACTGATATTAAAATTCATTTTCATTTTTACCATGTAGTGCTGCTATTTGAAGTGTAACAAGTATCTATTTCCATTAATAATCTTTTCTATTCAATTTTATTTCCACGGAATAATGATTGCGGATTAATTGAAACTTTTATCTAGATAAAATCCTATAAGTATACAGAAATTAGCTAAAAAGAAATTGAAAAAAGATAATAATGAAAGTGATTTTTCCGCGCGAAAATTTCCGTAATCATTCCACTTCTGCAGCAAAGTCTCCGCCTGAACCTAACACAAGAAAAATGGATTAACATTTTAAATTACACAAAACCGTTTAAATTAGACATTATAACATCCAAGGGCTCTGCCCCAATGGAAACCACGTATACAGCGATATTATATCTTGGCCGTCCCCAGATCTTCAAGACTTCGACACAGAAGTGGATTTTAAAGTCGTTTCTTTTTACTTGGATGTTTGCGAGATGTTTTTTTTTTTTTTAATCTGGATCAAACTAACAGATTGAAAAAAATAATTCCCAAATAAGAAACTTTACTCTTTCTTTAAGAGGTTGTCAAATGAGAAATGGGAAAATTAATAGTTAACCGTGTATGACGAATGGTTAGACATTTGTTACAGTCAGACTTTAGTTTGAGGTGCTCGTGAAGCTCTATATTAAATAAAGAAATAGTTTTACATGTGTTTCATTTCTATGTGTTTTTTTGCATCAGTTTTCCCATATCATTGATTTCACCGTGATACACAATAAAAGAGAACAATTCAATTATACCAAGATTCTAAGATTTCTTTAGGTTTTACTTCATTATAATATTACTTGATTTTCTACGAAACAAGTATACGTAATTCCTTGTTCAAGCTCTCTAGTTTCGGATTCGTATGTATCCCTTTCTCTTTTCCTAATCCTTTCCTCGGTTACAGACTTGTTTTAAAATTAAATTAACCGGGGGTAGAAGGGGCAGAGAGGGGCAGCCAAAAAAATAAAATTAAAATCCCACGGTTGCTAATAAATGTCAGGACATTTTGCTTTATATATTAACATTCAGTCCAATTCATTACCAAGTAAAATGGAAATCATTAGATCCAGCTTGCATCATACCTATCTCATGTACTTTCACTCATCTACTTCTACCACATATTATAATTACCAGAGTTTTCCACCGCCCCAATAATCAATTATATTTATACAAAAAAACATATATATTTGATATTGTTAGTGGTATACAACAACACATAGACCATCATTGTATAAACAACAATAACAACAAGATGTTGTACGCATTTGCTTCAGTACCTCTCTTCTCTTCTCTAAATCTTTCTTTTCTTGAAGTTGAGTACATTAGCAACCTTTTTTTATTATCATTCTTCTCTATTTTTCATACAAGGAACATCAAAGTGTAACTGCGGCCTGTAAAAATTAAGAAAAATAAAATCTCTTAGCTTGTAAAAGCCTCTCGGTAAACAGGAACTGGTATCATATCATATCATATCTGATAAAAATAAGCCACTACTTTACTGTGCTATTCTTCTTAAATCATTTTCTAAATAAAATTATATATAACTCTCTTTCTTACCCAAGCCAAAGTAACATTTAACCTCTCTTGAATATTTATCTAGCATAACAACAATTGAACATTATATATCTTATGCATCCATCCATTCATTCTTCGGAAACATGGATATAGCCGCAGTTGAGATGATTAACTATTTTAAGTTAGTACGTTTCTAACCAAACTAACCAACGTAGTGTAGATACTACATATCTTTCATATGCATATATTAACCTCTCTTGCTTCTTAACTACACAGTAATGAATCTTCTTCTGGCCTTATCCTATGGTAAAAAAAGGAAAATGAGAAAGTAAAAAAATCACGAACATAAAAATATCCACTCTTTTTGCCTTCTTAAATCTTCCCTCTTCATGTTAGTAATTAATAATTTCGCTAATGTGGTTAGTAGCCTTCATGTTCTATTTTCATTTTTTTTTTTTTTACCTGTAATTCCAGCTTAACTTAAGTTTGTTCTGCAGGGAGGAGAGATATTATTTGTACTTTTTCATTTTGATTTTACTTTGACTTTTAATAAAACAACCCATATAAAATTAATTTGTGTGGCATCTCTATATTTCATTCCATCCTGGCCCATCCCGTTCGGTAATATTTTAATTACATTTTTTGATTTCGACTAACCCAGTTCTTCTTGAGGCTTAGAATAATTTGTACTCTAATGATTCAATATTATTTTATTTTTTGAACATTTCGCTAATTATTAAGTATTTAGTATTCTTTTGCAATCTATCTAAACTCTGTATAAAGTAATACGTAATCGTCATCGTAATCGTAATCGTAATCGTAATCGTAATCTAGCTAGGCTCATAGAGTGAATTCTTTTATGAAATCTATGTCTGGCTTATATATGTGGGTTCAATATTCTTGGGAGTAAGTGATATCAATATATACTAAATATTGAACTTTAATTAGATAGATTCTTATGTTACGTATATATATAGGTATATATGTTGTTTGATATTAAAGAAAAATATTTAGTAGATCAAGACTATATCTGATTGAAGGACTTAGGGTATATTTATTCTAAAGATCAAGTTAAAAACAAAATTAAAAATCAATATTTAAGAAACAGCAAAGAACTAATCGTTTAAAATCCAAGTTTTCTAAACGGTTCTGATCTCATTAATATAAAATTGAAGGATTAGAATAACAATTGATTCTTAAAATAAGCATTCTATAATCTTTTCTGTTTTTTTATTTCATTTTTCTTTTTTTTGGTTTCTTAATAAAATAAGATTGGGATTAGCTGGTATTGCATATTCGGGAATATGGCGTTAACAAGAGTTGATTCAAAGGATACCTTGTTCAACTTTAATTTTTATAATCAAAATGAACAACAGTTTAATTTACAGCTTTTACCTAAGGAAATTGACTCACACAATGGCAATAGCCTAGGTACCACAAATATCTCCAATGACCTAACAGGTAATACATTGATGTCCACTCCAGAACCAGAACCAGAGGCAATTGACCCAAGAAGGCTATCTATATCTGGATATCATTTCGATAAGCCGCATTATTATGAATATGAATTCTTGAATAGAGATGGTGATGGTAGAATAAATGATTTATTTGAAACAGATATCTCATTGGACACTAGATTCAAACTAACAGAAGATGAAATTTCTTCAACTAGGAAAGTTATGAATTATTTTAAACTGAATATATTTAGTACTAATAGTAATTCACAAAGTATGTTCGATGAACAAGCAGTTTTCAAAAAGAGATACTTTTGGAATAGAAATAAGAAATCAAAGAATGATAGTGATGACATAAATAAACATATGTTAGATATTGATAATTTCGATAATGACATGCATGCATACGATTTTAATGACTTGGATGATGATATGAGTATAGATGCCAATTTACTCATAAGTCCAGCTCAATTGAATACAAATTTAGACAAAACAAGCGTAGAAAATGAATCATCAATAATATCGGATAACTCTGTATACTTGCATAATTATGAATATAATTCTTATGAATCAAATGATTTTTCGATATCGAGAGATTCGAAATTATCAAGTCCACCACAAACAGTATTATCCGATGATGACCAAATGGAGATTCATGATGAACTTAATAAAATCACAACTATGCCTAAAAGAATAGGTACTCTACCCAAGACAAGAGGCAGAAAACCTTCACCAATCTTAGATCCATTGAAATTATTTGCATGTGAACATTGTGATAGAAGATTTAAAAGACAAGAACATCTTAAAAGGCATGTTAGATCATTGCATATGGGTGAAAAACCATTTAGTTGTCACATTTGTGAGAAAAAATTCAGCAGAAGTGATAATTTGAACCAACACATCAAGACACATTCCAATTTCCATAAATAACGTGCAATACGTAATTGTAATATCAATTTTATACATTTATACTAATTGAACACTTATATATAATGATATAGTTAATGAGGCATTTATATTATATTACGCGGTGTTAAGGTGTAGATATCAACAAATTTTTTTGGATGGCTTAAAAAGAGGTAACTTTACCGAATTAAACCTTTAAATTTTCATTTTTTCAAAAGTTGAATACATAAGAAGAAAAAGAAAATTAGAAAATAAGATATTCCAAACTTCATTACTTATTGGGTAAATATTAAAATATATTAAGACTTCTTTAAGGATAATTCGTATTTTTTTTTTATGTTTCATGATTTTGGGAAAGTGGTAAAGTGTTGGAATTCCTATGAATTATAATATTGTATATTTGATGTTCATTTTATCAATCAAAAAGAGTAAAAACTATTTTGGGATTTAGTTAAATTTTCCTCTATCTTGACAAATCAAGTAAAATACATTGAATATCTCTTAAATACAATTTTCATCTATTTTATTATATAGAACCAGTTGATTTCAAACTATCTTGTGTAGTCGTATAATTAACTGGGGAGCAATGGGGGGCAAAGAGATGAGGAGATGTATGATTTCTTTCGATCAAGATATCCATCTCTATTTAAAAATCAAATAAATATTACGTTTAACAAACTACATTGTATAATAATGTTAGGTTTTTCTTAGGTTTCTCTTTCTCACTGTCTCTGGTTAATTATTCTAGTATATTTCATTATTATTTTTAGCTTATAGCAATAGTGGTATGGATAAAACGCAAACTCCTTAATTGGCTCACGTAACGTTTACAGTCCAAAACTCATATTAGAAAGTTGTATTAACCCATCATGTAATTTAAATGAGTTTTTTCCTTAATTGGGCCATTAGTTAGGCTTCGTTTCGTCAAACTCAACAATAGTAAATTTTGTCTGCACCACAAAATAACTCTTAAAAGTATTGAAACTAGAAGAAGCTCGTCATAATTGACAGGTTTCTCTACCTGAGTCCCCCTTGTTTCAGTATGAATATCGTAATGACAATTATTAAACAGTTGTGCAAAACCTATTGGAATCATCAAAAACGTTGATCTAGCAATGCGGGTAACAAGAATTAGGATTTCGAAGAATTAGTTTCCAGAATTCGAATGATCAATTGAATGAAACTGTTGAACTAAGAGAAGTTGTAAATTTAAATTTCAGATATTAATTTATAAGTAATGCAATTTCAAAAAAATTTTTATAATTAATTTGTTACAAGAAACAAATAATTGTTAGTGATTACACCAATATCTGGACTAGTAGTCACAGCAAGATTGGATTTTTTTTTATTAACCTATTATCTTACTGTGGTCTTTTCAATTATCTACTATAATATTTTAGATATTTGATAAGGATTAGTTATAGCTCAACATTTACCAAATACTGGTGTTAAGGTGAGAGATTGAATTAAGTCATTTCATTTGTCGAGTAAGGTTTAATCAAATCGATTGGTTAACTTTAACTATAGTTGAATTTTCTTAAAATTTTTGATCTTTTACTTGTGGTAGTATTTAGTGGAACTCTTTACGGTATGTATAATTAATTAATATTTTTAAGATGTGTTGATATATTAGCTTCAATAAAGAAGGGTTTATAGTATACATTTACTTCGATTTCTTTTGGATTAATTACTGGTTACTATAACTAAAAATTTTTTAAGATTTCAATGATTTCTTAAGACCTAATTGTTTCAGATTGTAACAAGTAATGATTTTTTTTGAAATGGTAGTCTTTACATTCAAGAATACTGAACTTAATGGTCAGTTGTTTTAATAATAATAGTAAGTTGGTGGATTCAGAAATAAATATTAATGGTTACTTTTCAAAGCCCAATCTTGTGTCTGCTACTATTGGGTAAGAAGATGGCCTATCGATGTTTGATCATAGGTCATGTGACCTGATCTCTGATTTTTTTGAGAAAATATTCACGAAATTTCCTAATTAAGGTACACTTCCTATTAAAGCAATTGCACCAAGAAAAGGAATTTATGAAATTAGTAAGAAAAAAAAGATGCCCTAATCCAATGTCCTAATTACTTGAATAAGCCTACTAGTATTAAGCTCTTCTATTTTTAATCTATTGCAAAATAATAAACTTCGATGATACTAACAAAATGTTGTTAAAAATGGTATATTTTTGGTTTAAACTTTTCACTTTAGCTATTTTATAATGCAAAATCATCAACCACAATTATCAGTAAATTCGGTTCAATCTATAATTGAACCAGTTACACCACCCTCTCTAGGGCAGATGAATAATAAGAAGAATCATCAAAGGACACAATCCCTGGATTTGTCAAACTTCAACCAGTTCATGGCATCTTCATCCAATTCATCAGCCTCCTCTCAACAGCATGCATCTCCAATGCTAATGATGAATGCATTTTCTCCTTCTTTGAATTCAGGTAATAATTTCACCAATTCTCATAATAATAATAAATTTTTTACTGCATCTAATCAAATTGCCAACCCGAACGTTGTCATGGGAACCAATGGTATTAATAATACCTCAAATATTGCATCTACTTCTTCGTCTTCGTCTTCAACAACTAACACACCAGGCAATACTGGATTGTCATTGATTAATGAATTCGATTTAGCATTTGATACAAACTATATAGCATCAAATTCAACTGCATCTTCTATTCATACTGCTTTTACTTCAACTACTTCTGGAAGTGAAAATACTAAGCAGAATGCTACCTCTTTAAAGTTACAATCCCCACTGCAAACTAATGAACAAATTACAATTAATGATGTCACTTCAAAACCATTAACTGAATTGGATTATTTAAGATTATCAACTGATCAATTTGGTTGTAGATTCTTACAAAAAAAGTTAGAAACTCCTTCAGATTCAAATCAAGTGAGAGATCTATTGTTTGAACAAATTAAACCATATTTCCTTGAATTGATCCTTGATCCATTTGGAAAATATCTAATCCCGAAAGTTTTGTGACTATTAACAACTGAACAAAAAACCGTTTTGATTCAATCAATTTTTGCAAATGTTTTCCAAATTCAAATAAACCAATATGGTACTCGTTCATTACAAAAAATTATTGGTACAGCTGAAAACGAAATTCAAACTGATTTGATTGTAGCTGGATTTTCTCAAAAATATACTTCTATTAATCAAGTTGTTACTTTAATTAATGATTTAAATGGTAATCATGTTATCCAAAGATGCATTTTTAAACTTCCTCCATCAAAATTGGAATTCATAATTGATGCCATAGTTCATGAAGATAATATTGTAACTATTTCAACTCATAAGCACGGTTGTTGTGTCTTACAGAAACTATTAAGCATGTGTACTTTACAACAAACATTCAAGATATCTGTAAAAATTATTCATTTCTTACCAAGTTTGATTAATGATCAATTTGGTAATTATATCATCCAATTTTTGTTGGATACTGATGAGTTAAGCTTCTACTTTTTACCTGAGGTTTTTAATAAACTTTCTGTAGAACTATATCAATTGTCATGTTTGAAATTCTCATCGAATGTTGTAGAAAAATTTATCAAAAAGCTATTCAAGATCATTACTACATCTATCAAGAGGGATGGACCAGTACCAACACAAGAAGAAGTTGTTCCAGTTGTGATGAATATCCTTTTGACTATAATTGACATATTTACAGCCAATTTGAATATTCTGATTAGAGACAATTTTGGTAACTACACATTACAAACCTTATTGGATATTTCAAATTATTCTATTTTACTAGAACACCCAAATAACAATAAGCAACATAAGACCTTACAAATACAAAGCTTTTGTCATGATTTTACATTCAAGATTGGGAATCTGGTTGTAATGACAAAAGAATTGTTACCAATGATCAAAACAACTTCGTATGCCAAGAAGATTAAGCTTAAGGTAAAATCTTATGCTGAATTCACTGGGGTACAAATGGCTGATCTTTCTCCAATAAAGAAAAATAGTAAGTCAACTACTAATTTCAATAAGAATACCAACAATAAATTCAATAGCAAGGGGAACGAACACGTCAAAAATCATATGAGACAGTCTTCTCTACCAAATAATGCATTTCACAAGAGAAATAGTATTTTCAATCCAAATGGAGGAAATAATCGTCAAGCAATGTCAAAGATATCTCCTTCAAACTTTCAATCACCTCAATTTATGTCAATAAATGAACAGGTAAGTAATGGTTACGGTGCTATATCTGGCCCAAACAGGTTGAATATGGTTCCAACATCAGTTTCTCAAACTAATTTGGCTGGCTTCGAAAATGCCAATGGTATTTCAATATCAAGTTCCAGCACATTTCTATGAATTATCAAGTAGCTGAAAACAGTTGATAATGAATCGCATGTAATGTTTCAAGCCTCAATGAATATAACACCTTTTCAATGTTCCCTATAAATGTCTAAAAGGGGCCTTCCAAAGTGGTTTCAACGATTCATTCAATACCGAAGGCAGGTCTTCTAAGACAAGTTTAAGTGACAGGTTTGCTCAAGGTTATCCGGGTCAATTAATTTAAATGCTAATAACAAAATTAACCTTTAAAAAGAACCATCGGCAAGGGATCCTCCATTCCTTTTTAATTATGTTACCAGGGCCTTTGTAGAAAATGTAGGAAATTTTAGATATATCCTAAAAATATTTCGGGGCCTAATATTTTGAGTGTTCTAATTTTTAAAAAGAATCTAGTGTTTGGAAAGAGTTTGCCGAAATAAGTGTAAAACCGTTTTGAATTCAAAAAAATCTTATGACACAAAGAACTC